GATAATATGTGATGATATTTTTAGAAACTAATAATCATGTTTACTTTCATTTATTTTTCACTTGGAGAAAAGCAAAGTATTATACCTCTTTTACAGCTACATTTGCAGGAATAAACTGGTAAACTGGCTTAAAAAAGGCGATTAAGTCCTTTCCCATTGAGTTTGCCTTTCTGTGTGCGTCACGATCGACATCACAAACGCACCGTCAACCAAGAAGCTCTCACCTCACTACCACAAATTAGCATGTTTACCCGGGTGTTTCGTTTCCATCACTGCCGAGCCAGAGCTGATAAAAACCTGTGGCTGCTGTAGAGTCATTTGACCCAGGAGTGAATGTTGATTGTTTCCCATTGCAGATAAAAACCAGATGTTAGTGGGGTTTTTGACCAGTCGAAAAAAGGCTTTAGAACATTGTAAAACCGAGACTAGAGGAGACAAGCTTTTCTTTCATAAATTCTGAAGATGTCTGATTTGCAACAATAAGCATTTTCTCTCTCTATAGATGAACAAGGACTTTGGTGATTTCAGAATTTTTTTCAGCACTCACATTATGTAAAACAACCAAGCATGAAAGCACTGACTACACACTGATGACTGTTGGATAAAAAGCATACACTTCTATGTTCTTGAAGAGACAGTTCTATAACAAAAACAGTCTGATTTCAGGCAGCATCTGCATCTCTGTTCCCGCTTCACTCACACAGATTGACTGCCAAAAACTTATTCTAAGAGATATTCTCCTTGTAATGGGCAATGCTTCACTTATGCAGAGGCTAATTTTGGATTTCCCTGCAGCGCAATGACATAGGAATTATAAATGTCTCAGAAGTGAGATGAATGAGGGAGGATTCTCCGGTGGAAAGTTTCTGGGGGAAGGAACGTAATTTGACAGATCTCCCCCTCCCTTATTACTTTCTTTGGAGGAGAACACACTCTAAATTTACCACTGTGCCACCCGAACGCAGTGCATTTTGGTAAATATTTCACCGTGTATCCCTTCTCAAACTTAAAAAGGTTTCAGAGTTGCTCCTGGAGATGAGTGAGGGCTGTTGCACTTGCTCACCAGGGCCAGTTACAGTTTTTCAGCAGAGAAAATACTTCACTTTACACTGCCCTATACTAGAAGCCTAGTGGAAGTAATGGAATCCTCCATTAGCTCAGGCACACTGTCTGTCTGAGGCACAGTAATCCCTGAGGGCTGCTGCGGCTGTGGATGTGTCCCAAATCCTCCAGAGATATGAAAAACAAATCTAAACTCTGTGTGTGTGTGTCACTGTTTCTGTTAAGTGCATGCTGTTTTATGAGAGGTGATTAGAATCCTTCACCACTGGTTTTTAGCTTGATTATGAGTCTTTGACGTATCCAATGTGGTATTAAATGTGTTATGCATTTTGCAATAATATACTACAAAGTCACTGATTATGCATTTGACTCCAATAAATGAAATATTGCAGACCCTAAAATTAATGTCAAATCTTGAAAATGATACAATCAATATTTTTACATTACTGCGTTTGCAGATCTTTAAGCTTGTTGCTTTGGTTTTATGATCTGAAAATGCATTGTTATGGTTCACTCTCACATTTACAGTCGCAGCAGTTTTCAGCTAACGCTCCATAAACAAAGTGCACATTTCCTGCCCTGTACCAAACAGCAGACACAGTTAGAAATAGCTAGTGAATGTAATGTTATATTAAGCTGCTAATAAAAAAGGCTGATAAGTCCTTTAGGATTTGGGGGATGTAAAACTGAGCTAAGCGCAATAAGAGTATTGGACTTCACCAGATGGATAGAAATGTGTCTCCAAATAAAAGCTGTGTTGCTGAATATGTTAATGTTTGTGTAAAATAGTAAAATTTGTTGCAAATTGTTTTTTGTCATGGCAACCTAGGAGGGTTACTGTTGTTCTTACAGCTTTTTTTCAAATTCGGCAAAACTGATTTGCATTACATTTGTGTATTATCATGTTATGCATACTTTTACCTCCACCAATCTGTTTATGTTTCCATCCACAGTAGTTTTTCTGTCTGTCCGCTTGTTAACAGCATTACACAAAAACCTGGTGGGAGGATATGTGTCAGGGTAGGACCTAAAATACAGAAGCATGGTAACGAAGGGTGTCCTTTATGAAGGGTGGCATAGGTACTAAAGCAAACAAATACGGGTTCAAAAAACAAAGTCCAAAAAACAGTAAATCAGTGGAAACCAGAAAAGAATGCAAAAAGCTAAACTGAATGAACAAGGTCACAAGATCAACTAAGGAAACACGAAACACGGGAAAAACAATGACGAGTGAAAGTTGACAAACTGACAAAGACAAAGAGAAGCACAGACACTTATATACACAAGGGAGGCAGAATGATTGAACAGGTACAGACGATCACAAGGGAAACAGGACAAAAGCAGGAAATAAAACTACAGACAAAATACAGCAAAATTTCACAATAAAACAAACAACCAAACTAAGACAAGCAAAAAGTCCATAATTTAAAAGTGTCCATACACAAGGACAAACAAGACAAGACTAAAAATAGACATCCAGAGCTCGGAGTCAGGGCAGAATCATGTATGAGTCAAGGAGAATCCCTTAAATCTTGTTGGGGAACTGGATCAGCAGGCAGATCCAGGAATTCTTTTTCACTTTTCACTTTTTTAACATTTCATTTATTTCTTGAAGAACCATGTATGAATCTTGATCACAATAACTAAGACATATTTAGGGGGCTGGTATCGGTGAGAGTGTTCATTTTTGTGTGGATCTAAACTGGATCTAATGGATTTGAATGTGGTTTTGTAGAGGTGTAGGTTTTTTGTAACTACCTGGAACTACCAGCAATATGTCGTCTAATTTGAGGGGACTGTTGTGCCTTGGTGGGTATATGCTCTGTTGGGTGCTATTCTAGTGATTATTCACTCAGTAGACCGTAGTGCTGTACTTGGGGTGCATCTATGTCCATTTAAACCTCATTTAGAAGTGCTCTACCTTTCCCTTTCTGCTGTATCATGTTAATGCCTGACAAGGATCAGTAAAGCTTAATCTTGTCGTGTCAAAATACAAAAGATAAAACCATCGGTGATCCCTCAGAAGCTCACATCAGCTCATCCTGCTAAAATCCACGCAGGAACCTGTAATAAAGCGTTAAAAAAAGTGGTATGTTATCCAACCTGGCAGTTGTTTGTCTCTAACCGCATGCTGAAAGGATTTTGTGCCCAATGAGGGTGCATCTGAAAAAAACCTGTCTTCTAAAGGGATGAGTCATAGGTTGTGGAAAAGTTCCCTTCACCCGACACACATACTCACAAATACCCTCCCAAATAAGCAGCAGAACCACCTTCCTTATTACTGAAGAATGCATTCAGAGAGGAGTGCTGCATTACTGCTATTCATTATTGAGAATTCCCACAGCATGCAGTGTACCCATCTCAGGATCTGCCTTGTATCTATTTGACATCGTACGCCTGGATGTGTTTGGTGCCCCTCTGTAAAGCTTAAATACATTTTAAGTGAGAGTTGTTAGCTTGGCCGAGCAGTGGTTGGGGGGATTGGAGTTGAATAAACAGTTATTATGTAATATTCACTGAGCACAAGTAACCTGAGCTAAGGGCTGTTGAAAAAGGACATGGTAATGGAGTGTGGCAAGTGAATTTATATGGGAACCACAAAATTAGTGTCTTGGTTTATGATATGGGATTTCTCAGGAGAGTTTTTTTACTTTACAGCAATGAAACATCAAATATAAAGAAAACTAGGAAGTTCCATTCCCATGCTCCTCTATACTAGGGGTTCCCAAACTTTTTCAACCCTCTTCCTCCAAAATAATGGTGCCTTCTACCCATACCATAGCTACAGAGCATTAACATGGGCCAACAGAATAAAACATTCCAAGCAGGCAGGTTTAGAACAAGTACTGCACTACAAGTATGTAAAATGTGCTATTTCTAAAATTTAATATTTTGTTGCAAGCTAAAAATTTGGATCCACTATTTTATGTATGCAGACAAGTTTTGGTTGCTGCACTGTCAGAAAAGTATTAAAAACACTGGAATGGAATTCAGAAGTCAGTGTTAATGGCTTAGTCTGAATCTATCAGAATATTTTAAGTACATTCCACACACTGGCCTCACCAACGGCCTTTGGTTCTTTCACAAATTTATGGTGTGAAAACATTAAAGCCAACATAATAACATATAGTAACATCTTCAGACCAAACACGTGTACAATTTCAACACCTATAAAGCAATGAATAAAGTGCAGAATCCTGCCCATGCCGACTGAGCTGAATTAGATTTCCACACTGCTGATATCATCACTAGTGGACGATGAGGCGAATTGGCCAGCACTCCCCAAAGCTTTTTATCTTGTGATTAACTATCGAGTGGAAAACAGAAAGATAAACAGCCTGCAGACTCAAATACACAGCTTTCATCAATGACGCATTTGTTACCGATGAGGGTTGTGGGCATAAAGCCAAAACACGCAGAGATGTAAACACAGATTTTTCATTTTGTGAGAATTGTAGCTATGTTCCCTGTTTTGTTCAAATCCCAGTCTTTCACACCTCACTTTATCTTTATTTTTCTAACACTGCCTGTCGCTATTTGAAACCACTGAGCTGCCTGTTTGATTGAGAGCTCCCTCCCCACTCGCAAAGCTCCTCCAAAGCCAAAGGAAAAGCAGCTAATTGCCCACTAGGCAATGACAGCTAATGACCTCTAATTGAAATGTCTTTGAACTGAGCGGAGACGGATGTCATGTTACTGCATTGTACTTTCATCTTAATGAAGACAGGCAGCAGATTTCTGCCCTTCAGCCGGGTGTCCAGGTGCATTATATGTGATAAGTGAATTACCATCCTTGAATGTGAGGTGTACTGTACTGGACAAGGTTTTAAAGTATTTAAAAGAAAAATATTGAGGTTCCTTCAACTGCTTCCTCATCTAATTTTAAAAAGCTGCCTGGGAAACACTGGTGACACTTCTATTGTCTTCTTTTTTTCCAGGTATCTGGGGATTACACGGCCTCTCACCTACCCAGCCCGGCAGAATGGTCAGCTCATGGCAAAGATGATCCTGGGAGTGTGGCTGGTATCGGCATCCATCACCCTGCCCCCTTTCTGCGGCTGGGCCAAAAACGTCCACACAGCCGGCGTGTGCCTCATTAGCCAAGACTTTGGCTACACCATCTATTCCACAGCAGTAGCCTTTTATATTCCTATGCTGGTCATGCTGGTCATGTACTACAAGATCTTCAGGGCAGCTCGCAAGAGCGGCGCCAAGCACCGTTTCACCGACCTTTCGCGGCGCGAACGCCTTGAAACAGTGGCTAATGAGGCGCTGCGCATGCAGGGCCTGAAGCCACCTGGAGTGGCGGAGGAGTGTGCTGCCTTGTCCCGCCTGCTGAACCGCGAGCGCAGAAACATATCCATCTTTAAGAGAGAGCAGAAAGCTGCCACAACACTGGGGGTAATCGTGGGGGTGTTCGCTGTGTGTTGGCTGCCATTCTTCATCCTGTCTACTGCCAGGCCCTTTATCTGTGGAGTGGAGTGTAGCTGCGTGCCCATCTGGCTGGAGCGCACGCTGCTCTGGTTAGGCTACGCTAACTCCCTAATGAACCCCTTCATCTACGCCTTCTTCAATCGAGACCTGCGCTCCACTTATCGTGACCTTCTCCGCTGTCGTTATCGCAACATCAACCGTCGACTATCTGCTGTGGGCGTACACGAGGCACTGAAGGTGTAAAGCAGGGTATTTCAGCAGCCTATCTTGAGTGGGGCATGGTGGTCCGGTGCTTGTACATGTGGTGCTTAGAGAGCGACGTGTTCACAGCAGGCCTGTAGATAAGACGCACACTGACAGAATGAGAGTCAATGTTGATGAATTCCTGGCCCTTCCACGAAGACAGACAGACACAACAATCACTCCAGCGTGTGTGTGACTTACTCATCCTACTTTGGAGCAGAAAATCACAGAGCGTACTTGATGGGCTACACAAGTCGACACTGCTATTGTGCATATACCACAGTTCTGTCCTGGATTTATAGTGGGATAATGTAGTTGAAAGGAAACGACATGTAAACACGATCAATCATCCTAGGGCTTTCTAAAAGAACAGAAAGCAAATAGATTTCTGTATAATAGCAAAATTGGTGTTTGATAAGTAAAAACCATGTTTGTGCACAATAACTTCTGAGCATCTCGATCACACATCCCAGTTTTAGTTCAAACACGTTGATGTGTATTGCGATTTTTTGCCAGCATATTATTTAATATTACTTCATCTCCAGTCATGGCATTTGGTTTCTCTAAAGCTAACAGGGGCACTCGTTTCACAAATGTTTAAATTGTGGTGATGCCAGACGAGTGGAGGTGGGTGGAAAATGGTGTTGGAACGCAACATGAGAGGGTGGTTTTCCATTCATGAAATATTTGTGTTTGTCGCTATAAAAAGAAAATGAAAGTAGTTTGTTAAGTGTCTGCATGAATCAAATTTGTCGTACATGACACTGTATACATAAATCATAAGACATTCTGAATAATGATTGACAGCAGAGCAGAAATGTTTTAAATGTTTCACCCAAATTGCAAAGTCCACATTATAATATGAAGTCAGTGTGTGTGTGTTTTAAAAAAGCATGTGGACTTTTTTCACTAGATCTGTCTCACTCCACGTTTGGCTACTGACCTTCTTAGTCGATGCAACGAACGACACCTGTTGAACTCTGCAGTTTGACTTTATAAATTGACATGTTCCTTAGACTCTCTCATGACTGGTTGTTACAGTGTTTCTATTTTTTCCCTTTCGATTTAGAATGTGGTCACTTCCCTCCTGGCTACACTCCCATTTGAACTCTAGTGACCTGTAAGAATCTGTGTCAAATGTCGTCAGTCGAGCAGTGTGTTGCTTTTTCTACCTCGATTTTTTGAGCGAACTGTACGTTGAATCCAGACAGATGTACCGGTGTCTTCACCATTTTGTAATTAATTGTAATTTTGTATTGTGTAAAATTGATCTGCCTATACGATTACTCTGTGTTTGCTCTGTATAGGGGGCTTTGTCAGTACCTTCAGAAACAAGTTGGAGGAGTGGCAAAGCATTTCACGTTTCACACTTTGTAAATAAAGAAACACTTGGTTAAAATGCCATTGTATGGTCTACACTAGTAACATCAGATGACATACTGTACGTTCAACAAAACATGGTTTAGTTAAGGTTCCAAATATTTTTCAAACAGGACACAATCTTGCACAAATCCCTTTTGCTTTCTAGCTCCACAGAGCACTTCTTCATCAAAAGCCTGACGTGCACGGTTTGCTGTACAAAATTCATCATCCTCGCTGACTAGAGTGATGGGTCTATCACAAGGAACAAAGATGCACCTTAAGGCATCTCTGGAAGCATTTGAAACATTGATGGCATTAGAATTAACACCAATGCCGTCGAGTTGCTGTGAGGACTCTGGAGACATGTCTGAGAACGGTGACCCAAAAAAGACGCCTTTATTCTCCGTCTGCTCGGAGCTAAATCTTTTATTCAGAGTCTGGGTGACAGCTGTCTGCTTGCTTTCATGACTGAAGCTGTCCTGTAGAGGTACAAGGACGAGGCAGAGGCCGACATCTGCGGTGTTTCGTGTCTTGTGGTCAGAAGGTGCACACTGCAGATATTCAACCTGGTGGGGGATGAGATGAACATGAACTCAAAAAGAGGAAAACATCTGGTTCATTGTAAGTAGTAGTCAAGTGTACTTTATTTTTGTAGTAATAAAATAGGGCTTAACTTCAGTATCTAAACACATGGTGCAAGTACATTTCGGGGGATTTTCACTAAATTGAAGCCCACTTTTTCCAGTTTAATAGCTGAAATAAAAGGTCACTATTGGACCAGGGTGACAGGCTGGCATTGTTTCAATCAGGAGAGACTTTCACTTAAAAATGAACAAAATTGATTGTCGTGCACAGTTAGAGAAGATGTGATCATACAGTCATCATGGTTGAAAGGGGGTGAGCCTGTGCATAGTATAGGATCACTGGTGGTGGTTTATGGGATGGAAGTGAGGATCTGAATGAGATGATGTGTGGGATATGGAGACTGGAGGTGACTAGGGGTCGCAGTGAATCACCGAAATCACAGCTGACAGCAAGAGAGAGGAGACAAGTAAAGAGTTTGGAGGCAACAAAATGTTTGGTGGATTGAAATCATGGCAAAATATGTTTGGATTTCCGTAAACACTCAACTGTCAGCCGATTAGAAATGGTGGCGAGAGTGAGAGAGAATTGTGAATGAATGTGACATAGAGAAATTCTTCCTGATTAAACAAACGATCAGCTTCATTATCATTCAAAGGTGGAGGATTAATTAAAAGTACAAATGTAGTACAACCTTAACTTTTCTACTTGAGTAAAAGTAAAAGTACTTGCCAAAGGTAAATCCCTTATTCTAAGTGGGCAACTACATCATCAACCGCTCACTGTATATTCATTTAAATACAGGAATAATTTATATTATTATATCTATAATACAGACTTGATCATATTAGTAAAGCATGCTGCAGATGATGGTACTGAAAACACTTATTAATAAATAGCTGAGTCTCATTTGTGGTCTCTTTCAAATGCATTTGAATGCATTTCCAGGCGGGGTCTAAGGTTACCTGTCTGCTCTGATTGGATCAGAATTCAACAGAAATTATTGATTACTTTTAAACAATGTGAATATGTAAAGTAATACATATAGTAAAGCAGGCACAGATATTTGCCTATTTGATATGTAGTGGATTAAAATGAAAAGTACCTTAAAATAAATCTTACTTCTTCTTAAGGAAAGTACAGACACAGTGATGTATTTATTTACATCCCACCACTGTTATCATATCAAACTATCAGAGGTAGTTCAGTGGAAACCTGTGTTGTTGCTGACTAATGTGGATCTGATGGTTTGCCTCATTAAACATCTGGATATGTATGTGCCCCCCAAAAAAGAAACATTTCTGCACATGTTTTGTGCACAGCTGCCTCCTGCACTGGCTTGTTAGCTCGGGGCCAGTTCACATTTCCAAAGCTGTTTTAATATTTTTAATAACTCATTGCATTATCTTCCAAAAATCATTTGCTTGTTTGGGTTGGAACACTTGGCCAGTTACTGCGTGTTGCCGTCTGCCATATGATTTGGTGGGACAGTTCCCAATTAGAGCAGAAGGACTTTTCTAATTATACTTCTCATGCTCATAATAAGCATCTCTCCGAGTCCACTGAACACTGTTACATAATTCAGTTCTCATGCAGCAACAACAAAAACTCACATCAGATTTTCACGGAACAAAATCTGTTTGAATGTGGTTTTTTGGCCAAATGTTTATTGAGGCACTGCGGTGACATAAAAATGTTTGAATCTCCCTGAAGTAAAGAGCAGAATCATGCCCTCAGCCAGCATGTTGACATTTGCTTTAGCACATGAAATAGCAGGCAGCCCCATAGTGGACTTTGTGTGTCTCCCCCAAGATGTCCAGTCTCCCAGCAGCCATCTCAACAGGCGTTACTCTCGGGGAATGAGCATCAGAGCGCCTGAGCTCGTAGGCAGCGCCTCTCGCCTCCCGTGCTAGCTCCCGATGTGTGCCATCACGATCCTCTATATCGGTAGATGAGGGTGAAACATTTACGTGTGATGTAGTAAAATTCATCAAAAGGAAAATGGATAGTAACAGATGAGTCTTTCACATATGCTGCCCACAGGCTCAGTTGCCAGCTCTGACAGGCTGTGGGGGTTGACAGGGGGAATGCACACTCTCACTTTGCTATTTTTAAACTGCCCCAGTAATTAAGTGGGTTTAAGCTTTGATTAAACATGGAGAAAGAGATCTGAAGCACTATGTTTTTCACTATCTTGCTGTGTGTCCCTCATTCTCCTGTATGTAAACACTCGGTGATTAGGAGAAAACCTTTGTTTGACAGCGCCTGCAGCAAATAGACTTACTATATGGTTACCAGTGATAAAGATAATAGTTTTCAATATTTTTATACAAACAACTACTAATCTCTACTGCTGGCTTATGTAGAGTAGTGCAGGAGTGAAACTATCTGCCCATAGAGGTTTTTAAATATAGTTGGCACATGAACACACAATATTAGTCTCTCTTTTCATATATGATAAATATTAATTTGAATGTACACTTATTTGTTAAGCAAGCTTACAGTCTCCTATATGTGTTGTATATAACACAAACAACACATATGCATATATTTATGTGTCTTGAGATGATTAGCCTACTCAGATAAATAATAAAATAACTTTCTCAGAAAGAAAATTGGAATTCTTTTTCATTTTTCTAAACAAATAAAGACATGACAAGATGATAAATGTGATGTCAAGCTTCTCGTGCGGTAATCTCAAATGAACTAAATATTACAGTCAACGCTTCTTTGTGTATCTATGAGTTTTAATAAATGTGTTGAATGCATTTCCTTCTTTCCATTGCAAATACATTTTTGGAAATATATTACATCCCTCATTGTTTACTCTCACAGTGTTTTTACTAGCCGGTCTTGCTGCCACCAATATAAACTGAAATGGAATGAGAAATGTGACACAGTGACCCTGTGCTAGCCTGTGTATATGTGTTTGCATGCACCCAAGCAGAAAAAAATTGCCCCTTAGTGCTGCTGCTGGTGCCAAAATTCAGAGTGCAGAAAAATCGGAGGCGCACGTGCCTGTGTCCAGCCTGGGAACTGATTCACTCACTGATAGGCTGTTCTGTGGTGGATGAGAGGATGGCAGTCCATTCCCTTATCTCAGAAGCGAGATACACACTCGGTGAGCTCAGCTAGTTGCACGACGAGCCTTCGTCTTTGCTTGGCAGCACCTTTGGATATGTAACTGACATTGGCATACCCATAACGTTCTTCCATCCTTCCTTCCTTCCTTTCTCCCATTCTCTTTCTGTCTTTGTTATTGGTTGCCTAAGTCAAAACTGTGAAAATAAAGAAACACAACACTGCTAACACAACACTGCTGTGGCTGGGGCTCAGGAGATAGAGCGGGTTGTCCGCTAAATAGAAGGACAAAGGTTTGATCCCTAGAAAGTGATCTTGGGCAAGATCCTTAACCCAATTGCCCCTGATGTCTGTATGTGACTGGTGTGAGCTAGAAAAGGCACTGGCTATAGAAGCTTTGAATGATTGTGTCCATAATTAGGTGAATAGGTACGACTTGTACTGTAAAGCACATTGAGTGATCAATAAGAATGGAAAACACATAAATCAATCAATTTACCCTAAGGCTTTTTTGGCATGATTCTATTATATTATTTTTCAATGTCATTTTTTTTACATTAAGCATGAAAGTGGTCATTCATCTAACCACTGCTGCAAGAAACATTTCAATTACCTACTCCTTTATCAAGGTCACTTTGAATTAATTGCAAGCGCAGAGCGATGTAAATCAGATTTGTAAGGTAGTGTGGGCACATGTGTACCCAGCAGTAACATCCTCAAATGTAATTGGACCATGAATGTAGCCTTGTTCCCCACTTTCCAATCAAATTGAAGCTATAAATATCCAAGTAAACATGTCAATTATGTGTTAATCCGGTTTACGTGGTGTGTCCCGAAATATCAACTTCCTCCCACGGTCACCTCCAGCGGCCAATCACAGCGAGGGAGGCTGATATTAGCCTTTGCCACTTCCTGCGGAGATGGGCCTCCAGCAAATTAACATGCGGGGAAGTTATCTGCAGAGTGTCAAAGTGACAGCCAAAAAAGTTTCTTTCCTCTATTTTCTGGAGGCAGCTTTCTGTAATTAGGTTCTGTCATGCTGCTAGGAGGTAAATGCATGCTTTTTAAGGGTGCCAGCATCAAAGCGACTGTATGTGAGGGAACCCGCCCCTGTACACTTCAAAGTGAACACAGTAGATATCTCTCTGCGTACGCTGCATTGATTGTGCCGCCATGTATGTTGCGTTTTACTCGAGCTGTGGAGTATTTGAGCGTTGTCTCATTACCTCGTATTCTCACGCATTCACACTGCAGACTGCCAAGAATTAG